GTACCGCAACCCCTCCTACAATAACCTGGTGACCCTGCCACAACTCCTATTTGGGTCAGGACCCCCACAATTACAACACCATGAAAATTCAGATTTAAATATCTGAAATCATGAAATTTATGATTTTTAAAATCCTGTGACCATTAAATTGACCAAAATGGACCGTGAATTTGGTAGGACCCTACGTATTGTATAGTGTGAACTTATGTAATTGTTAAGATGTTTTTTTCTGGGTACTGCCTTTTGTGTTCTCTCTTATTGCCATTTTCCTTTATCTACAATAAAAGTCATTCAGGCTGAAAGTTTATGAAAACACATTTGCTTCGGTACAGACTGTTCAAAGAAAATAAGCTCAGATTTATGGAAAGGACAATTCATGTTTAACAAATGTGATTTGGGGGAAAATTTTGACACAGTACCACCTAAAAGACTCTGAGGGGAGTTAGGCACCAAGATGATATTAAACTTCAGTGGCAGTTAGGAACCTAACTCCCTTAGGCTTGTTTTAAAATCCCAGCCTATAAGGCAGAGGTGGGCAAACTATGGCCCAGAGGCCGCATCCGGCCCTCCAGACATTTTAATCCAGCCCTCGAGCTCCCGCTAGGGAGCGAGGTCTGGGGCTTGCCGTGCTCTGGCACTCCAGCTGGGGAGCGGGGTCAGGGCCTTGCCCCACTCCACACAGCTCCCAGAAGCAGCAGCAGGTCCCCCCTTCAGCTCCTACGCGTAGGGGCAGCCAGGGGGCTCTGCACACTGCCCTTGCCCCAAGTGCTGTCCCCACAGCTCCCATTGGCCAGGAACCATGGCCAATGGGAGCTGTGGGGTGGCGCCTGCGGACAGGGCAGCGCACAGAGCCGCCAGGCCACGCTGCCGCGTAGGAGCCGGAGGGGGGACATGCTGCTGCTTCTGGGAGCTACTTGAGGTAAGCGCTGCCTGGAGCCTGCACCGCTGACCCCGTCCCATGCCCCAGCCTCCCTGCCCCAGCCCTGATCCCGCTCCCACCCGCCAAACCCCTCAGTCCCAGCCCAGAGCACCCTCCTGCACTCTCAACCCCTCATCCCCAGCCCCACCCCAGAGCCCTCACACCCCACCCTGCATCCCATCCCTGTGCCCCAGTCCGGAGCCCCCTCCCACACCCTGAACTCCTCATTTCTGGCCCCACCCCAGAGCCCGCACCCCCAGCTGGAGCCCTCACCCCATCCTGCACCCCAGCCCCCAATTTTGTGACATTCATGGCCCACCATACAATTTCCATACCCAGATGTGGCCCTCAAGCCAAAAAGTTTGCCCACCCCTGTTATAAGGGCAGTTTAAGGTTAATGTGGTAAATTTGGTATTAATAGGAATGTTCTTGACTGAATACAAAATTGGCTTAGTCACCAAAATCAAAGTAGTGAGAGATGGAAACTGATCAGATAAGATGAATAGCAAGCAGAGTACCACAGCCCATGGTGTTATCAGTCTAATTTTGTTCACACTGTACACCTGGAGGAGGAAACATACATGTATATAGTCCTTGGCTGAGTACAAATTTGCAGAGGACAGAAAACTGAAAAGGCCAGTCAATACCAAAGAGGAAGAGAAGGATCAGATTCAAAGGGATCCGGATAGAATAGGGGCATAGGCTGACAAGGAGGTCATGCAAAGCAACATGGAAAAACTATGTAATAAAGAGGATAGAGATAATGAATGACAAAAAGGTTTAGTGACAAAAAGGTTTAATACACTACAATACACTAAGCAAGAAAAGAATTGGGGCATGATAGAAGACATCAAATTATAAAATCAGTGTCTAGTAGCAGTGAGGAAAACAGGCTACTTGGATTTATTAGTACAGACATACATCAGGAGAATGCAGATTGGAACAATGTAAGGACATGCTGAGTTGCGGTGGGTGCCTTACTGCAAGAAATTTAGTTTAAAATGGAAAAAATAGGGACGGGGACAGTGTCGATTAGAAAATGTATCTATGTTCTAGCTGTCTGGAAAGGCTACGAACACTAGGATTCCATTTTTTGGAAAATAAGAGATTGAGTCAAATTCAGGCCACCTCTTCTGCAAAGGTGTAAGCGGCAGAACGATAAACTGGGAGGGAAACAGTAGGGCACCAATATTTTGCTCTGCTGTTTCAGGCTTTCACAAACCCCAATTTCTGGAGGCAGAAAGAAGGCAGAGTGCTGTGGGAGAGGTCATGGTTAGCACATTTTAGTGCAACACTACGTGGCCCAGCATCCCTTATACTTGAGGCTGGTGATTTCTACCCTTGACAGCACAACTCAGCAGAGGAGATGTGCATAGAGCTGCAACTTGGTCAAAGGCTGAGTCCATGATATTTTTGCAGCTTTTATATACACCCATTTTGTTTCACAAAATTGAATCAGACCTGAACTTAGCCTAAAAAGAGAATAGCGCCAATGTAGTAGTGAGCAGCCTCAGAATACAGAAAGGGCAGATTCCAGGAAACTGACTGAGAGGATGACAAGCTCAAGAACACAAATATAAACTGAAACTAAAAATAGAGGGGAGTCTTGGTGCAGAATTAAATCTTAATTTCTGTTGACAACTATATAATGGAATTTAGAGAGAAATTCTTTATATTTGAGGTAATAGAAAGAAAAGTTACAACAGTATAAGCCTACCCACTTAACCTGCAGAAGATACCCTGTGTTTGCTTTGTTCAGGGTCCTGAACTTCTACTATAGTCTAGCCATTAAATTTGCTCTAGAGTTGCTGGACTGCAGTTCTGTGTGAATGGCTGAAAATAAGCCTTTGTTGGGCTCTTGCAAAACCCAACTTGAGCTTAAAAAGGGGAAGCATAAGAATCTTTAATCAGCCAGTACAGTATTTAGGATTTTAGAGATCAGGCACTGATATTAATGTGTGAAGCCCTGTGCATTGTTTTCAAAAAGAGACCTGTGGCAACGTAGGACTGGATTCTGCCTTCAAATGATATAAATCTGCAGTGACTCTGCTACCAGGGCCGCTCCAGGCACCAGCCGACCAAGCTCGGGTTTTTATTTATTTATTTATTTATTTGTGTGTTGATTCGTCGGGGCAGCACTGGAGGGGTTTTTTTTTGTTTCCGTGGCGCGGCGCACGGGGGGGCGGGGCTTCAGACGGAGCGGCGCTCGGGGGGGAAGGGGCTTGGCGCGGCGCTGGGGGGGCGGGGGCTGGCGCGGCACGGCGCTCGGAGGGGGGCAGGGGCTGGCGCGGCATTGCGCTCGGAGGGGTGGGGGCTGGCGCGGCGCTCGGAGGAGGGCGGGGGCTGGTATGGCACGGTGCTCGGAGGGGGGCGGGGGCTTGGCACGGCGCTCGAGAGGAGGGGGCTTTGGGCGGCGCGGCGCTTAGGGGGGCGGGGCTTCGGGCGGCGTGGTGCTCGGGGGGGCGGGGATTTTGGCAGCGCTGGGGGGGGTTCGGCTGCGCGGCACTTGCGGGGGGGCACGGGGCGCCGCTCGCGCAGTGGGGGACGGTGCTCTTCTTTTTTGCCTGGGGCAGCAAAAAAGTTAGAGCCGGCCCTGTCTGCTACGCTCGGCACAGTTACTGCTGAATCACACCTGTGGTGCCCAGAGCAGAATCTGCCCTTGTATCTTTAGATGGATGGATGGATGTTCGTAGTGGGGTCTCGTTCTGTGCCTGAGGGGCCCTTTACTTTGTTTACGGACCATTCATTTTCAGTCCCTGAACCAGAAGGGCCTTTGTTTTGCTCCTGCCCTGCCCTGCCTATGAGTCCTCAAGCAGGGCTGCCCTGCCTGCTTCCCCTCCTCTCTCCTGTGCCCCTCCGCCCCTCCATCTACTTCTTCCCCTCCTCTCTCCTGTGCCCCTCTGCCCCTCCATCTACCTCTTCCCCTCCTCTCTCCTGTGCCCCTCTGCCCCTCCAGCTACCTGCTTCCCCTCCTCTTTCCTGTGCCCCTCCAGTTGCTTGATTCCCCTCCTCTCTGCTGGGCCCCTCCATCTACCTCTTCCCCTCCTCTCTCCTGATGCCCCTCCCTCCCTCCAGCTGCCTCTTCCCCTCTCTCTCTCTCATTCCATCCCTCCCTCTCCCCCTTTCTAGGCCATTTCCGGTTGCCAGCCCGTCTCCTAGCAACCCTCATCAGCAGCCACCGCCCCCCCTGGGGCCTCAGCTCGGCTCCTTCCGCTTCCGCCGCTTCCCCGGCTCTTCCCCGGCCCCGCTGCTGCTACGGGCCCTCCCCCGACCCGACCCCCCCTCCAGGGCCGCGGCCGGAGACTCCTCCTGCTGCCAGCCCCTCCCGCCCACGGGTGAGACCCTCCCCTCAGGGGGACCTCGGGGTGAGACCCCGGGGCGCGAGCAGGGCCGGGGGGAGCTGGTGGGGCGGAAGCTACTTTGAGGGAGGGGAGTGTCCAGGGCTGGGGAGGGAGGAGGTTATAACAAGGTAGCTACCTAATCCCCCCCCCCCCAAGGTCATCGTCCCTGGGGGGAGGGGTAATTATCCTAGGCAGTGGGGGAAGGGTGGCGTTGGGGGGGAGGGAAAGAGAAGAGCTGGGGGGGGGTGGAGAGAAACCCCAAGAGAAGGAGGTTGTTGGGGGGTTGTTAGAGTGGGGGGGGGGGGGGAGGATAATAACCGGGCTTTTCCGGGGGGGGGGATTAAAGCTAGACTTGATGGACACGGAGGCTGGGGGGGGTAAATAGTTTAAAAGGGGGGGGTGTCGTAGATGTTAGACCAGTTCTTGGGCTAGGGGTACTACCTGAATTAAGAAGAGGAGAGGTTAATTATCAGACCCCCTTTTGTGGCGTGGGGGGAAGGGAGTTATTGGGAGAATAAGGCTATTTATATCAGGAAAAGTGAGGCTGATCGTTTGTCGGAGCAGGTGTCTCACAAGAAGGGTACGTTCTGATAGTAATTGGTATATCAGGCCGGAAGGGGAAAGAGAGGGTTTCGGGATAATACCAGGGTGGAAAGAAAAGCAGAGGTTAATTATCATGATAACAAGTGTAGGGTATCCAGTCTGATGAGTTGTGAGTCAGGCTTCGGGGGGAGGAAAGGGAGTATAATAATAATAATAGGGGGAAAGTTAAAGCCTACAATAAAGGATGGTTCCTAAACCCACCCACAGTATCCCTGAATTGGGAAGCGAGCCCCAAGTTAGCCCTACTTGTCTTGTTTAATTTGACCATTTAGACAGGGAAAGCTAAAATCCATAAGGGATGGAAGGGGAGGAAAACAGCGGTCCTCCCTCAGGAGTGTTTGCGGACTGGAGTTTGGCCTTTTGGACTCTGTGCTCAGTGATCCTGCCGGTAGTGATCACCTTGTGGTGCAGCTTCCAGCGATCCCGGAGGCAGGTGCTGAGGCGAGACATTTTCCGCCAGAGCAAGCACGACTGGCACTACACAGATCTCTTCGGCCAGCCCACCTATTGCTGTGTGTGTGCCCAACACATTCTTCAGGGAGCTTTTTGCAGCTGCTGTGGGCTGTGTGTCCACGAAGGGTGTCTCAAGAAGGCCGACCAACATTTCCTCTGCAAGGAGATTATGATGAGGAGTGATGGTGAACCCCACACCTCTATGGCACATCACTGGATCCGAGGCAACGTCCCGCTGTGCAGCTATTGTGTCGTATGCAAGCAGCAGTGTGGCACCCAGCCCAAGCTCTGTGACTACAGGTACAGCGAAGGAATGTGCTTGCATATGCAGGAAGTACAGTATCATGTCATTATTGTAATTGCTGTGGCAATATTTGGTCACCTTGCTGCTAAATGAAATGCTAGAATAGTTCAAGCAAGTTGTCCAGCATGAAGCTCTGTTAGAATTTCTCACAGAGCCTATCATCAATGAGACTGCTTATGATAAGGTGCTATTCAGCGTGAGTAAAGGTGGGAGAATGGAGTCATAAGTTGGGGGGTAAAGCATAGCTCACTGTCATCTATTTTATTATTATTTCTATTACTGTAGCACCTAAGGCCCCCAATCAAGAATTAAGGCTGTATTTTGCTAGATGTTGTACAGGCATGTAGTAAGACAGTCCCTGCCCCAGAGAGCTTACAACGTACGGCCTGCTCCTGCAACAATTTATAATTTGTTTAACTTTACACACTGTGAGTAGTCGTATTGACTTAAAGAGAATGACTCACAGTGCATGAAGTTAAGTAGGTGCAGAAATCTTTGCAGGATTGGAGCCTGGATTTATGACAAAACACAGTATAAATTAAACAAGTATAGGTGCAAATGGGGTTCAGTCCTCCTAAGACTATATTGCAGGGGTCAGCAACCTCTGGCACGCAGCTCGCCAGGGTAAGCACCCTGGTGGGCCGGGCCAGTTTATTTACCTGCCGCGTCCGCAGGTTCGGCCGATCGCGGCTCCCACTGGCTGCGGTTCGCCGTCCCAGGCCAATGGGGGTGGCGGGAAGCCGCGGCCAGCACATCCCTCAGCCCACACCGCTTCCCGCCGCCCCCATTGGCCCGGAGCGGCGAACCGCGGCCAATGGGAGCCGCGATCGGCCGATCCTGCAGATGCAGCAGGTAAACAAACTGGCCCGGCCCGCCAGGGTGCTTACCCTGGCGAGGAGCGTGCTAGAGGTTGCCGACCCCTGCTATATTGTAAGCTCCTTGTGGTAGGGACTCCCTTTTTGTTCTGTGTCTGTACAGCATCTAGAACAACGGAGTCCTGGTCCATGAGTAGGTCGCCTAGTGCTATTGTACAATACTACAAATAATAATAATAAGCAGAACTCCCCCTGAAAGTTAATGTGGAATTCTTAAAATGTCACCCATTAGCTTATGGTTACCTTATAATATAAATAACTTTTGATTTGATATTATAGATATCTCAGTACCTTGAAATTAGCTTTTGTTGATTTCAATGGGACTACTTGTAGAGTAAGGTACTAGTCAACCTGATGAATGTCATGGAGTTGGTTCTGTAAATATTATCCTCATGGACCAAGTTCTGTTTTCGGTTAATCCACTGTAACTCCATTGACTTCACTGGACATACTCTAGATTTACATCACTGTAACTGAGACATTATACTTTGGGATGGACAGGTGCCTGCTGCTTCATATTTACTCAGGTAGTTTTCAGGAGGCAAGCTAATTAGAAGAACCACCTTAGGAATCTTTTGCCAGGCTCTGAAGCTGTCCAGCAGCATGGACGAATAGTCAATATATTTCTATGTATAAAACGGCTATTCTTCTGCTGTCAAACTCTCATTCAGTCTTGGCAATCATTTATTTAATACTGGTTGCACTGTTGTGTGATTCATCTGCAGTTTACAATATAAATTGTATCGGTTTCCCATCTTTTCTTCCTGTCTCTTTTCCCTCCAGTTGAATTTTTGTGTTTCTCAAGTTTCATTTTCTTCCATGATTTCAGGAAATAATGTACAGTATTTATTTAAGATGTCTGCATAGTGCTATAATTAACTGTGCATGGTACTTTGTATAGAGAATGAGGACACAGCATTTTACTCCGAAGGGTTTACAATTTCAGTGACATACATACTGTGACATGGAGAGATTATAGCAAACGAGAGAAAGAGAGAGGGATACACAAAAAATAAGATTGAGGTTAATTGTCTTCCATGGTATGCATAATATTCTTTTATTTTTCTAAAAATAATTAGTGTGTTGGTATTAAGGAAATAGAGAGTCATTGTTGAAGGGATGGTAGCAAAAAGTTGAGCTGGAGATTTCAAATGGTCTCAAAATGAACAGTAGCCTTCAAAAACATATTTTGGCAGTCAGCTTGTATGATAAAGAAAATAGAGTGTTGATCCCAAGCAAAGTATGTACAGATCTGGCATATTTGTTCATTAGTAACTGCACTGTCTGAACTCTTTCAGCGTAAAACCTGCCCTAGCAGCAGATGGATATTCCTGGAGTACCTCCACTGTCTGTCTAGCTGTATGGCTGGACATTGCAATTGTCTTGCACATTGTCAGCAGCCGTGTGAGCTTCACACTGAAAGTTTGGGGTTCAGTACTTACTCTTAAATTAAATCTACTGTTACAGCTCAATTGTATTCTGAATTTTCCTAGGCACCTACTCTTAGATAATCTTTTCAGCAACTGCTAATTTCTGAAAAACCCATGACTGACTTCCCTCTATTGTTCAGTTAAATATCTTTGACCAGGACCGGCTCCAGGGTTTTTGCCACCCCAAGCAATTGCGATCGGCGGCACTCCAGCGGCAGCTCCACCGCGCCCCTCTCTTCTTCGGCGGCAGGTGCTTCCCTCTGAGAGGGACCCGCCGCCGAATTGCCGCGGAACAGCCCGACGTGCCACCCCTTCCCCTTGGCCGCCCCAAGCACCTGCTTGCTGGGCTGGTGCCTGGAGCCGGCCCTGTCTTTGACACAGATGAGAGTAGGTGCATACGATGGTAGAGAAAGTATAATTGTGTCTATAATGCTACAAAGGAATTACTTCTTTCCTCGATTGTACTTGCTACCTATTTTTACCCAGCTCTTATGTGACACCTTGTAAGCGAGTAGAGCTCCAGAAGAGCAAACAACTCTCTCATCTGTAAGGAGCCTCAAGTGTGTTTGATTGAGGGCAGGATTCATGGTCAGGAATGAAAAGAAATGGTCACCCATCGGGAATGTCAGTGTCCATGGTTATAAGAGCTGGATTAACGGAGGGACTCCAAAAATAGCTTCCACAGCTGCTTAAATCAGGTTTTTGGATGTGGTGAACCAGGATTAGCCTTCTGCAGAGGATGGCAATAGGTATTATAATATTTCCTCCTATATTGTCTCTCATCAGGACAGCTGTAGGAATAGGTTAAATTGCTGAGCAACTATGTGCTGTGGGATTTTTGTGCTACAGCTTTGCATAATGCTGTACAACTCTTAGAGTTTAGGATTTAAAGGGATGCTGTCAACTTTGAAAAATGACATTATTGACAAATTTATTATCTTCTTACTAACACTAAATTGTTAAATTAAAAAGCATTTTTGAAATTCAGTTTATTTTTTTACTATTTGAAATGTCTTTTTTCAGTTAATGAAAATTAATGGAGCTATTTACACTTTCACTTTCAGGTTTTCAATTCTGCAGTGTTTGTGTTGCCAGTTGTGCAAGGGAATATTTATTTGCTTATAGCAACTGTTTCTCTTGGAATTACAAAACCTGTTAATGTTTCCATTGGTTTTAAATTTTGTCAAAGCTCATTTTTACAAAATCCTAAATATCTGGCCAAACTTGAGTTGACAGTGACCTTTCAGTAGTGGATTTGAAGCACGTCTGTTTTCCTTAAACCTACAGAGAACTTGTTCAGTTTTGTTTTTGTAATGAGTTATGACTATGTAGTGTGTCTTGTAATATTTAATAGTAATCATTTTGCTATAAGTATACCTGGAGTATTTTTTTTTTAATGAGTGCACAAAAAAAATAGTTTTTTTCCTACTTGGTTAAAGCTATAAATATCTGCTCTGTTTTTAGATGGAAGTAAATATTGTTCCAGGATGCTGTTTTGTCAAGTTGTCCAAAGGTCTGAAACTTTTCTAGTTATATTTTGATATCTGCCTATTTGAGTCTATTCCCAGTTCCTTGGGAATGAACGTCTTGACTTTCTTCACACTCCATGCTGTCAATGCTCATGTATTCCAGCCCAAGACTGTGTGCACAGTGTAGTGTGCTGTCTACATTCACTTTTTTTAATATAGAAGTTAGGCAGTGAGAAGAAAGGCGTGAAGAGTTAATTGATAGCATGTCAGCAGTTTTTCTATATTTGCCTGTTCAGTTGTGCTGGCAGTAGCAACAGTAAACGCTAGTTTCAAAAAGTAAGATACAGCAGTATAAGTTGTGCTTTCCACCTATTAAATGTTTGTTATTGAAACAGGAATAAATGTCAGAAAAGCCCAGATCCATTTTCCTATGTGGTAACGATCCTCGGTTTTCTCTCCTTTATGTCACTGTGGGTTTGTAAGCCCAATAGAAGGGAGAAGAGAAGGAGTAGTTATTTGATCAGAAAATATGTATGGGGGCGGGGGGGAGAAACGACTTCATCTCAAGGCAGGTAGTAAATTATCTACTGACAGTTTATGCCAGTTTTGTCTATTTAGGGAATTGCATGTGATGTAGTTACTTGGACTTGATTATTATTATGAGCAATGTGATATTGAGAACCTTAAATACACTTGCCTCCTATCTTATATCATTATGAGAGAATATTTGTTTCATAGCCTACAAAGCTCTGTGTTAGAGTTCAAGAATGCATGACTTCTAAACATCACAGTTTAAGAAAAGTATTTGGTTTTCTAATGTATCATATGGGGACATTAGAAATGGAAACGACCTACTTGGCCAGCTAGTCCACATCTCTGTCAGTGTGGAACTCTTCTGTACAGTACATTTACTAGTGCTTTGTCCAGTCTAGTTTTAATGTGCCAAGCTACTTTGAGGAGGAGCTGGGTTTTCCTTACTATTCAGTCTGAGTTTTTTATTTTCTTAATTGCATCCCACTAATACTCTTTTTGTCTGTCTTGAAGATCAGGTCTAATAAGCTCCAATATATTTGAAGTTGTGGTCACTGCACGTAAAATCCAAGAGTACCCTCTAATAACTCATTTGTCCCATGGTTCCTACAAATCTGCTCTGAGTTTTTCTCAGACTTATCAGTTCTGTTGCTCTCTACCAATTTTAAAATTAATGGTTGTTTGTGAATTAAAAATTATGCTATAGTGTGCTGCAGTCTCATGCTGCATCTCCACAATCACCTTTATGGATTTTTCTCCATCATCTTCTGGTCTCTCATCTCTCTATTCATCTCTCTATATAACCATACAGAGAACATGAAAAGATGGGAGTTGTCCTACCAACTCTAAGAGGCTAATCTTGTCAAACTGTCTGTAATGGGCTATCCTGATTATCACTACAAAAGTTTTCTCTTAATTAATTAGCCTCTTAGCGTTTGGTATGTGTATATATATCTCCTTACTATATGTTCCATTCATCCATTCCGATGAAGTGGGCTGTAGCCCACGAAAGCTTATGCTCAAATAAATTTGTTAGTCTGTAAGTGCCACAAGTACTCCTGTTCCTTTTGTGGGGATAGATTCATCCACTGCTCCCGTCCTTGCTTGGCTTTGTCCTTTGCTTTCTAACCTTGCTATGTTTAGTTCCCTGTACTGATGGTAGTGTTCCACAGATGTCAAGGATCTTGGGGCAATAATCAAAAAGAATAAAAAGTAATTGCCACCTGGCCCATTACAACATTAAAAATATTGTATATAAATCACTCGGATTATGCATTTTAGAAACACAATTTTTTTCTAAATCTTTTTAACACTTAATCTATTTTACATGCTTTTTCAGTTGTTCCAGAATATTACTGTAGGGATTCAAAACCAAAAACGTGATTATATATCATTATTTTCTGAAGGATCTTTCCATACTCTAGGAGAAGCAGTTATGAAGTTTGATTGTACCAGGATTCTCCCAATAATCAGTCTGATGCCTGCTAGGGTGTCCCCTAGTTTGAGTAATAAAAATATAGTTTTAGACCATGTTTACTCTCTTCTGTTAATTCTCTAAGTAAAGGACAGCTAATTTTTCTGAATTAGACCCTGCACATTTCTAAGTGTGTAAGTGCTGTTGATAAAGTACCGTATTTTAAGGCAAGTTCTACAGTATTATTTTGTGATCCCATTGCATAACTTGTGCTGTATTAATATACTTTACTTTACAAAGTGTTTTTGCATAGCCCTATATAAGTAAACTCAACCTTTCAATCCAAACAGTTGGTTAGAAATCAAGTCAAACCACCATTTGGACTCTTTTTGTTTCTATTTTCAGGTGCGTTTGGTGTCAGCACACTGTACATGATGATTGCATGCAGAGTTCTTTAAAGAGCGAGAAGTGTCGTTTTGGAGAATTCAGAAACTTAATTATTCCACCATATTACTTATCCACCATTAATCAGATACGTAAGGATAAAAGAACTGATTATGGAAAGGTAACTTTATCGTTATTTTTATAATACATCATTCTAAATATTAAGTGCAATGACATGTTGGTGGTTATCCACTGAATAAGTGTTTGAATACGTAAATGCTCAGTGTGTTGATTTGAATTTATTAGTCATTTTATTAACATCCTGGTTGAGATTGAACAGATTTTTGCATTTAATTTTCTGAGGTGACACTGAGGCTATAGTACCTTGCTTTCTTAAACATCTTAACCACAACTGTTTAAATCCCATAATCATCTTTAGTCAAAAATTCCAAAAGTAATTTATGCTCAATTCCCTGTTATATGTTAGAGAATATTCATTAAATCTTTAGCAAAATCTGTAAACAGAGCCATTTAAAAGAAAACTGTTTCCATGCTCCAAGCCACTACTGTAGATATTGGAGAGAAATCCTATAAAGTCTTTTTTAAGGGATACCTGATAAGAATAAGCCTGTTAAAGAATAAACTTCCATTGTACCCAAAAATTAAATACTGTGAAAACAGACTGACTCTTCAAAGAGGTACAGCTGTCAAATAAAAATATTTTCTGTGTACCAAAATAGAGTGTATTGAATAATGCAGAGTGTCAACACTCGCAGTACCACCACGAGTTTCGTGATTGGGGGACTGTACCCTGGAAATTAATGACTCAAAAGATTTAGGGATCATAGTGAGCAAGCAACTCAACTCAACATGAACTCCCCAGAGCGATGCTGTGGCAAAAGGGCTAATGGGATCCTTGTATGTATAAACGGGAGTAGTGAATAAAAGAGGGGCAAGGTGAATTTATTTCTGCATATGCCATTGGTGAGGCTGATACGAGAACACTATGTACAGTTCCGGTGTTTACGGTTTAAAAAAGATGTTGGGGAAAACTGGAGAAAGTGCAGAATAGAGCTGCAAAAAAAAATGATTTAAGGGCTGACGAAAATGCCTGACAGTGAGAGACTTAAAGAGCTTAAACTAAACAGAGTAACAAAAAGAAGATAAGAAGTAACTTGACTAGTGTATAAGTACATTACAAGGAGAAAATACCTGTACAAAGGGCTATTCAATCTTGTGGAGAAAGACAGAACAAGAACTGGTGGCTGGAAGCTGTGCCAGACAAAAACGTGTGCCTTATTTTTACTTTGAATTTAACAGTGAGAACGATTTAACCATTGGAGCAAACTGCCAAGGAAAGTGGTGGATTCTCCATCTCTTGATGTCTTCAAATCAAAACTGGATGCCTTTCTGGAAGATAGGAATCAGTCAAATAGAAGTTAATGGGCTGGTTACAGGACTAACTGGGTGAAATTTAGTGGCCTATGATATACAGAAGATTAAACTATATGTTCTAATGGTCCCTTCTGGCCTTAAAATCTATGAATGATTTCAGACCAATTTTAGGGGGCTCTTGTGATAAAACACAAGCAGCTCAGAAATTTTACCTGAGGTGCCTGCACTTCCCCCTTCATCCTTTATAGGCTACTGTGCTGTTTATGCCACAGGCAGCCAACCCTGTATGCTCTGAGCAGGGCAGATTCCAGAACAGCAGAGCCGGCCCCGCTCCAAGCTTAGTAGTCTTAGCCTTGCTATCCCCACAGGCCCAGCGCAGGAAAGGAGAGTTATTGGATGTCGGAGCACAGAGCAAACTTCCTCCCTGCAGGTTGAAGACATGGGGCAGCTGCTGGATCTGGCCAGAGGGGAAGTTGGGGAAGTGGGGGCTTACAGGTTGGCAGGAGGTGAAGGGGAGAGCAGGCTATGGGAGCATGCTGGGGAATTGGGATGGCTGCAGGAGTGTGCCAGTAGGGAGCCTGGAGGACTGGGCAGCGAAGGTGAGGGGAAAGGGAGTTGGGGCCTGCATTATTGTGTATGATTCAAGGTTGAATTTTCAACCTGTAATTCTCACATGCAAATTAGGGTATTCACAGGGGAGGTCAAAATCAGAAGACAGACAAAAAGCAAGATTTTCTTCTCTTTTTATCTTTGGTTCAGACTCATGGGATTTGAACCCTTGAGGTTAGCAGTACTGAAAACATGAAGTCGATTTAGAGGGGAACTTGCATGTTTGTGTAAATTTGATAAAAGCTATTTGTAGATATGTTCAACTTTGCTGATAATTTTCTGTATATCCCTCTATTATGGAAATCATTTGTGTTTGAACAAAAGCATTATCTGTCCTAAACCATGTTTTGATCCTTCCATGAGAGTATAGTCCTGGGTTTAAGACCTCAAGGCTGCTATAGAGATGTGATTTCATTGTAAGATCCAGGTATAGAAGAGGGAGGGACTGTCTGAAAGCTCTTGTTACAAATGATGATTAGCAAAAGTGGCAACAAGAAACTATGAAAAAACACAAAAATGAAATGACTTTTAGTAGCTGTATTTTGATACTTTCAACTAAATCTTCATTGACTGGGAATGCTACTGGTTAAAATAAGTTGTAAAACTTATCACTTATTTGCAAAGGTTGCTTGTTTCTGTGCTCACTATAAAGAGGGAATTAGCAACTTTTTATTTAAAATTATGGAGTAATTCATTTTTCCTGTCTTTGTGTGAATGGGGAATGAAGTTGGAATTCAAAGCCTCTCATTCCGTTCAGGTTTGTCACATTTGTGTACATATGGAACTTTTTTCTTTCTGCAGTTGGCATCCTCCTATGGTAAACACTGGACCCCAATAATAATCCTGGCTAATACTCGTAGTGGAAACAACATGGGCGAAACATTGTTGGGCGAGCTTAAGATTCTCTTAAACCCAGTTCAGGTAATTGTGGGGAAAAGCCATAACTATGTAATAACCTAAAGACTCAATTAAGATCACCAGCATTTTGCTTGTATATGGACTACAGGATCTTTTTAAGCAGTTTGATACAAATCTCCAGCTAAGGAAACAGATTGGTGCAGTTCTCATTTGAAGAAAAATGGACACGAGGATTTTAGCACGGATCTGCAAATGCAACTTAAGGAAGGAACTTTTTTTTTTTTTTTTTTTTTTTTTTTTTAACAATGAGTTTGATAAGGAGCTAGGTGTCACCAAGATTTATAGAAGTTGAACTTGCAATAATTCCCTCACTGCTTTTATTTTCCATAAGTCTCCTATTCATTCAGGAAGGTATGAGGCTTTTAAGATAGGGAACAATTTAAAAAACACTTTAAATCATAAGTAAAATCATAACTCTTATTTTTTTTCTTTTCACTGTATGATGCGTTGTGCGACACCATCACGGGGTCACTCTGTCTGGTGCAACGGTCCTTAGTAGACTATATGGGTTTGATGTGATTCTTTTGAAACTTTTGAAATCCTAACTTTACTTGTGAAGATGGCAATACATCTGGCTATTTTTCTGTGTTGCTCTCTGTGTTGCCATTGTCCCTTAAACTCAACTGGGAAGGCACAGGATGCTCTGATGTAACATAGCTGTTCCTAGACTTCCTGACTACATCTTAATTCTCTTCCTCCAAAGTTCAAAGCAAGAGCCTTTAATGAGTTCTCCTAGTCTGAATTTAAGGTCTTTGTTTAAAAAAAATATCAATGCCAAGAGTAGTCTCAATGAATAAACTCTTTTACAAACTGAATTTTAAGTCTTTTTTTTTTTTAAACCATTTTTTATTTCATTACTTTTGGTTCTTGTAAAAGTGAAGGATTGACATTAATGGATTAAAAAAAATTATTTTGGGGCAAAATCCTACTTGCTTTGTTAATATGAATATTCACTGAAGTAACTACTCACATGACTCTGAGTAGGATTTGGTCGTTGGTATGATCATTTGCCAGTGTAGTTGACTGGAACTTATTATGATCAGTTTGCATCCTGATATATAAAAGTGAAGATGTTTTGATCTGTGAAGTAAACCCTGTGTTGTGTCTTAACTTAGACATTTTTATTTTCATTTGTTCATAGGTTTTTGATCTGAGCAAAATTTCACCTGCCAAAGCACTCCAGCTTTGTACCTTGCTGCCTTATAATTCTGCTAGGGTACTTGTTTGTGGTGGGGATGGCACAGTGGGCTGGGTCCTGGATGCAATTGATGAAATGAAGATAAAGGTATTGCGTTTGAATACCTTTGCATGTATTGTGGTGAAATAACTTTTGTAACTGGCCAAAGTGTAAGCCCTAATCTCTTATCTGGATATGGGTCATTCCTATCTTTCAGAGTAAACCTATTAAGAAAAGTATTTGTAAAGTAGCTTATGTACAATAAAGAGATACAGACGTTGAACATTTAATTTAGAAGCCATTCTGCTCACAGAGTGTAGCCTATTTTATGCATTCCTTTGTAATCTAAAGAGAAATTTAATTTGCTGTTAATAGACTCATTAATATAGTAAGGTTCTGCTCTGGCTGCTTATTTCTCACCAAAAGTATTCAGCTTCTAAAGCTACCAAAAATAATGGCACAATTGCAGATTGTGACTTTAGAAAGAGATTAAGGGACAGAAGTAGATAAATTATTAAATATTTGGTTTTCATTCTACCATTATTTACTGACAAGAAGTGAAGAAACTTTGTGTGTTTAGTATTGTTTCTAAATAGAACATCTTTTCAGTTTAAGAGGTATCAGCAAGAACTCCTGGGATGTCTAATTCAGTTGTCACCCTTTCTGCCTAGTATCCACACAGCTCCTTTTCTCTACAGAAAAAAGAAAACAAGTGGTAAAGTTCACAAAATTGGATAATAAAAAATTAATTCCCATTTCTCAATTTTCTGGAGCCAGTCAAAGTGAATGTTATATTTGTTAACTGATAATACTTTGTAAAGTACTGTACTGAAAGCTGCGACTGGGTCATGATGCATATCATCAACCTATGAACTCTTTTGAGAGAGACATATTTGCTTGTACAATGAAATACGTGGAGGAAAATGTCTTCTTAGCCCTGCAGAGCTAACATACTTAAGATGGTGTGAGCTGGATTCTAGGCCCTCTCATGCCTCCTTAGCCAAGTTCTTGACAAAATGTTATGCTCCTGAAAACCCATTACAGGCATTGGCAGTACATAGGTATTCCTCTGCGGGCTGGGCTGTAAAACCTTTATTACTGGTGGTAAGTGAAGGGAGAAAAGAGTCCGGCTTGACTCTCAGATCCCTGGTTGCAGGGCTGATAATAAGAAGAAACATCCTTTTTCTTATAAACATATATATCCTGATTAAACAACAGTAACCATGATGCCACTTTTTCAAATTACTTCTCACAGTTGAAAACTTAAATCTCACAACAGCTCTATGAACTAGGTAGGTAGACCAGCTTTACAGAGGGAAAGCTAAGGCAGTAAGGGAAAGGCAAGATATTTTCCAAAGGGGCTGCTCACTTGGGGATACGTTATTTTTGTGCATTTGATATTTGCCTAGTTTAAAAATTCAACCTTTCATAGTTTCTCGATCCCAAGTGCTTAGATTTGACATTTGCCATGCTTGCAGTACATGCTGTGCCACTCTGTAATAACCATTGAAGCAGCTTTTCTGTTAATGGTGTTCAGCTATTTCTGGGGATAATAGGGAGGGAGAGGACTCTAGAAAAGGAGATTCTAAAATGTACCATTTCTATGTCACAGGGACAAGAACGGTATATTCCACAAGTTGCAATCTTACCTCTCGGAACAGGTAATGACCTGTCTAATACGTTGGCTTGGGGTGCAGGTTATGCTGGAGAAGTCCCAGTGGAACAAATTTTACGAAATGTAATGGAGGCAGATGGAATCAAACTAGACAGGTAAGTAACACAGTACAAAGGTGAATCCCACAGCACCATGACTATTTTATCTATAAACTCCAGAAAGCATTACCAATCAACAGTAACACCCAGTGACCGCAGAGGTTTGGTAAGGAAACACAAACAAGGCACCAGCAGGTGCGCACAGGTGTAACTGCTCCTGTGGGAAACTAGGGGCTACTGGATGTCAGAGATGGAGGAGCCTCTGCTGAGCAGCTTCTCCAATGCTGAACCTTTAGATATTTAACCAAACCTCTGAATCTTCTGAGGAACATCCATCTTCTCATTATAATTTCTTACATTGCAGTTGTTGGTTTCTTATTGCAGTTTGAGTTCAGTGAGGGTAGTTCATCTTCTGTAACTTGGCTAAATAATAGTCTTTTGTTTTTCAGATGGAAGGTTCAGGTAACAAACAAAGGATACTACAATTTAAGAAAACAAAAGGTACAATTTCAAAATTGCTAAAATGTGGATCTTACCAGATGCTTGTGTGAACTGATTATTTTATTTCCTACTTGCATATGCTTTTTAAATAAAATAAAATAAACTGCCTGGCCTGAAGGTTGTAGAGTAATAATACCTCACTGATGGAGCACTTCTCGTCAGAAGATCTCAAAAAGCTTTACAAAGGAGGTCTGAATCATTCTTCCTATTTTGCCGATGGGGAAACTGAAGCACGGGGAGGTGAAATAATTCCCCCACAGTCACGCAACATGCCGGTGACAGAGCCAAGAATAAAACCATTTTCCTGTGTCCCAGTGCAGTGCTCTGTTCACTAGGCTTTTCTCTTCGGTTCACAGTACATTAGGAAAGTAGATGGACGCTTTTACGATAATGACATTGGAGCATTGAAAACAATGAACTGCTTTGTTAATTGGCTGCCACAGAAGTGAAGCTGTCATGCAAGTTTACAGCGGTGCTGAGAACACTATTCTTACTACATGACAATCTTATAATTCACAATAAACAAGAATAATAAAATAGGAAATGTGAGGAGGATTGCAAATCATGTGTTTCCACTCTGGAAAGTTTCAGGGAAAAAGATATAACCATTTGGTACATGAAAAAGATAAGTAACTTGCCTGTAAAGTGAATAATTATTTGAAAGAGTGATCTAATCTCACATCAGTTTTACACTTTTGGGACTGACGTCAGTAGAGTTACCCCCTAATTCTCATCAGTGTGAGAGAAGAATCAGGCCCTACTCTCCAGGGAGCAGAGGGGCTTGGAATAGTATTTGAGGGAGTTGGTATCTGACTTGTTACAGGGTTAGTTGAAATTCCAAGGTATAAAGAACTGTATATATCTATATTTGCATATTGTAATTAAGTAGCAGCGTCAGCTGGAAAATATTGGGATCCACAGAAAGAAATGCAGGATTTACAGTTTCTTTACTAGATTGCTACATGTTTTGCTTGCAGACCTGGCATTAAGAACCTTTATCTTATTTTTAGGGCTGTCAAGCGATTAAAAAAATTATTCGCATGATTAATTGCACTGTTAATAATAGAATACTATTTATTTAAATATTTTTGGATGTTTTCTACATTTTCAAATATATTGTTTTCAATTATAACACAGAATACAAAGTGTACAGTGCTCACTTTTTTTTTATTACAAATATTTGCACTGTAAAAAACAAAAAAGTGGTTTTCAATTCACCTAATACAAGTACTGTAGTGCAATCTCTTTATCATGAAAGTTGAACTTAAAAATGTAGAATTATGTAAAAAAAAAAAAAAAAAAAACTGCATTCAAAAATAAAACAATGTAAAACTTTAGAACCTACAAGTCCACTCAGTCCTATTTCTTGTTCAGCCATTCACTCAGACAAACAAGTTTGTGTACATTTGCAGGAGATAATGCTGCCCGCTTCTTGTTCACAATGTCACCCGAAAGTGAGAACAGGTGTTCTCATGGCACTGTTGTAGCCGGCGTCGCAAGATATTTACATGCCAGATGCGCTAAAGATTCATATGTCCCTTCATGCTTCAGTCACCATGCCAGAAGACGTGCGTCCATGCTGATGACGGGTTCTGCTAGATAACAATCTAAAGCAGTGCGGACCAACCCATGTTCTTTTTCATCATGTGAGTCAGATGCCACCAGCAGAAGTTGATTTTCTTTATTGGTGGTTCAGGTTCTATAGTTTCCACATCGGAGTGTTGCTCTTTTAAGACTTCTGAAAGCATGCTACACACCTCATCCCTCTCAGATTTTGGAAGGCACTTCAGATTCTTAAACCTTGGGTCAAGTGCTGTAGCCATCTTTAGAAATCTCACATTGGTACTTTATTTGCGTTTTGTCAGATCTGCAGCAAAAGTGTTCTTAGAAAAAATGTCATGTGCTGAATAATCATCTGACACTACTATAACATGAAATATATGGCAGAATGCGGGTAAAACACAGAGCCGGAGACATACAATGCTCCACCAAAGAGTTCATTCACAAATTTAATTAATGCATTATTTTTTTTAACAAGCATCATCAGCATGGAAGCATGTCCTCTGGAATGGTGACCGAAGCATGAAGGGGTATATGAATGTTTAGCATATCTGGCACGTAAATACCTTGCAAAGCTGGCAACAAAAGTCCCATGCGAATGCCTGTTCTCACTTTCTGGTGACATAAATAAGAAGTGGGCAGCATTATCTCCCGTAAATGTAAACAAACTTGTTTGTCTGAGCGATTGGCTGAACAAGAAGTAGGACTGAGTGGACTTGTAGGCTCTAAAGTTTTGCATTATTTTGTTTTTGAGTGCAGTTATGTAACCAAAAAAACAACATTTGTAAGTTGCACTTTTACACAATAAAGAGATTGCACTACAGTACTTGTCTGAGGTGAATTGAAAAATACTGTTTCTTTTGTTTACAAATATTTGCACTGTAAAAATGAAAATCAAAAATAATAATATAGAGTGAGCAGCGTACACTTTGCATTCTGTGTTGTAATTGAAATCAATATATTTGAAAATGGAGAAAAACATCCAAAAATATTTAATAAATTTCAGTTGGTATTCTATTGTTTAACAGTGCGATTAAAACTGTGATTAATTGCGATTAATTTTTTTGAGTTAATCAAGTGAGTTAACTGTGATTAATCAACAGCCCTACTTATTTTTAAAAATGCCACAGTGAGCACTTAAAGTGCCAAAAGAAGCATTTTTAAAAAAAGGATACTATGAAAGTGGTCATAGGACTTTCTTTCTCTTTGAGGAAGTCAAAGGGTAGCTGAGAAGTGTGTGCAAAACTCCATGAATCCAACAATAATTTTTAAGTGGTGGCAGTGTATTGATAAGTGCAAAGAGTCAGTGAAAGTCTTTTTGACGATTTTAATTTCAGAGGACCAAATTCTGTTCTGTAACGTGGGTGCTTCTCCCACCCTTGGGTAATTCTCATCGAAGCACCTGTATAACTGAGAGCCTTTAATCATTTTATATTCGCTAAGAACTGGTTATCTGCTACTTCAGATTACACATGTGTAACTTTCAATTTGCATATTGCTAGGATTTTGTTTTCATGTCTCCATAATTTTAACTAGAGCTGTTGTCCCGCAGGTGTTCACAATGAACAACTATTTTTCTATAGGACCTGATGCTCTCATGGCTCTCAACTTTCATGCGCATCGTGAGAAGTCTCCCTCACTGTTTTCCAGCAGAATTATTAATAAGGTGTGATTGATAAAATAGCATTTCCCACTTCTTGCCAAAGATACTGAGAATTGCCACCCTTTAATCAAAAGACTGCAAATAGCCTCCATTAATTCATGCAAGTATTTAAGTATCAGCTGTTTTGTGTAACAGTCTGAGACCAACTTGGATTTTTTTTACATTTAATAGCAATCAAGCAAAACATTTTTCTGCATCTTAATCTAAGGTCGTATTTTACTAGTGTCTAGTTTATTCTAATGTGTATTTCCATTTTGTTGTTGTTGCTCAATATCAGTTATGCTTTCTAGTAATATGGCAAAATTCTCTTTGACTTCCGTGGAAACAGCTCAGGTCACTGATTTGTTGCAGTTGTAACTACCACTGTTGGAGCCACGTCCAACCTTGGAAACTGCCATTAGGGCCCTGTTTTCCCTTATGTGAAATTTTTCCTACATAGGGAAAAAGAAACTCTTCTAGTTTAGCTCCTGGAGTTTCATCTTCATTGTTCCATTGTGCATTCAGGGTTTATCTCCCTGGGTCAGGAAGTTCATTCTCCTTCAGCAGTACATGTCTTGAGATGCACAGGGATCTTGGTCAATTGTCTCCACGCAGCTGTTCTGCTGGCCCACCACCATGCTGCTATTGGCTTACTTACCACTCCATATTTTTAGGTTGTACAGTAGTGGCTGAGAATATGGACTCTAGTACCAGCAATGGAACATGCTTCTTAGCGCTATCTCTTCCCACCCCAGTTTTAGAAGAGGTTCAGTCCTAGAGCTCTTGTAGAGGAGCTTCCATGGGGAGCTTATGGTGGGTCAGGTGCATTTGCAGCCAGGTTCCAACTGTTTGGGTTGCTCTCCCCTTCTGGAAGCAGAGGGAAAGACTCTTATTCTTAATTACCTGCAAAGCAGTCTGAAGTATGTTTATCTCTGTAGAGCTTCTCAGTCATTTGGAAACTTAATGGACTGGAGCAATGGCACTGCCTAACTCTATTTAAAAGTGTAGTACGGATTTTATTTTAAAAGGAAAAACTCTTACTTGCACTAGGTAGTAATGAGTGGGTCGTCCTCTTCCTGAAAACTTAAAAGCAAAGAGGATACACAAATATCTCATGTTACATAAGAATTTCAGATTGAGCTCTTATAACCGTAATTAAATTATCTTTGTCTTTCTCTCTGTTTCTGATACTGATTTTTCTTTAACTTTTTGTAGGCTGTTTATTTTTTCTATGGAACCAAAGATTGTTTAGTACAGGAATGTAAAGATCTTAACAAAAAAATTGAGGTAAGGTATCTTGTGTTCTCTCGCTAACTCACTTTTTTCCCTGGGGAACATACATCTCTCTCCCTCAAGAAAGCAGGATCTTAAATGGAAATGATCTAGTAGTTTTTATAAATAAAAAAGTCTAAGCAACACCTAAGTCTAAGTTTCCACTAGATACAATCAAAGAGACCTTTTAAAGCATACCTGTATATTGCTTACCTTTTGATATAATAGCAAAATTAACTTGTATAGTCCCTCTGCACTGGAGCAAGTTTCACCTATACATTGGGATTTTAGCTACAGCAGGGGCTCGATCCAAAGTACTACAGTACGTCCTGATCCTAAGCCCATTGAAGATTCCCATTTACATTTATGGACTTTGGATCAAGCCCCTGCTGTAGCTAAAATCCCAATGTATAGGTGAAACTTGCTCCAGTGCAGAGGGACTATACAAGTCTGAGTCACAAACCCTTGCAACTGTAATGTGCTAGTTAATAATAGAAATGGGGGGTGTAGGATACGGTACCATATTATGAAGTCAAAAATATTATTTCTTAATATGTTCATATTTATTTTATAAATAACACACATGCTGATCATATCGGACCAGTTCACATTGACTTCAGTGGGATGCCCACCCTAATGCATGAAGAGAAGTGGCACATGCCCAAGTGCAGAATTTGGCCCACAGTAACTTACTAACAATCTGTTGTGTATCTGTAAAGCTAGAGTTGGATGGTGAGAGAATCGATCTGCCGAATTTGGAAGGTATCATCGTCCTGAATATTGGATACTGGGGAGGTGGCTGTAGATTATGGGAAGGAATGGGTGATGAGCCTTATCCCCTGGCAAGGTATGTAGTGCATCAATGGTTCTAATATATACTTTTTTATTACAGTGTAAGGGCCAATGGGCTTAAGTAAGCAGTCCCATTAATAAGAGGGATTGCTCACATGAATAGGTGCTGCAGAACTGGGCCATAAGATTTTATAGAATTCATTGAATGTGTTATGCAGCAGAAGGCAAACAGATAGATAGATTTAAGCTTATGTACTGTATCAGTCACTTTCATAATAGTTTTATCTATTAATACAAAGACTATATAAAGTTTTTTTATACAGTTATTTCAGTGGTGTTCACAGCTACTTTGATAATAAATGTCTCCTTTTCTAAAATTTAGGTATGATGATGGATTGCTGGAAGTTGCTGGAGTTTATGGCTCTTTCCACTGTGCACAGATTCAGGTGAAATTAGCAAATCCTGTTCGACTAGGACAGGCCCACACTGTGAGGGTACGTAGCATTTATAATTACCTTTACCCAAGTTTTTCAGTGAATGTGTCATCTTAGGCACTCAGCTGCTGACCACGTCTTTGTTTTTAAAAGCTGCAGTTTGTCAGGGAGTCTGGTGTTCATCTTTCTTGGAAAAGTTAATTGCCACTTAAATTGCACCCCCATAACTCAATTATGGACACCCTATTCTTGTGTGTAACTAACAATATACTAAGATTCTCTACTAGGAGGCTAAAATCTTGCTATATCAGTACGTAGGCAGTAGTTGTAAATGAAATATCTTTGACTGGAGTGAACTGTTATGATTCCATATATGCTCTTTTATTTAATACCAGCTGATTCTGAAGAATTCAAAGATGCCAATGCAGGTGGATGGAGAGCCATGGGCACAGGGACCCTGCACTGTTACCATAACTCATAAGACACATGCACTGATGTTATATCACTCGGGTGAACAAACGGATGATGATGCTTCCAGCATGTCTGAGCAGGAACACACAAGGGAACAGACGGATGAAGAAATATAGGTTTTGAAGAATTTTACATAATATATTAATCAATTCTCATTAAAAAACTTAGTTAAATATATATTAAATGTTCTATCTCAATAACTATACCTTTATGCAGTAAGGTGTAGACTTGTGAGTGGCATAGGGGTTAAAAAAAAAAAAAAAAAAAGCCATGCTTTCAAGTATTAATGGAAAAACTTCCAGGCTAACCTTTAGCAAAACACTTAGGTGTATACTATCAAAATGAAAATCTCACCATAACTTAAACTGATTTTTCTTAAGGCTAAATGTTTAATATGTCTTGAGAATACTATTTTCTCTTTTAAATAAGCAGTATGTCTTACTCAGTTCAATAATATACTGTGAGGTGCACATAACAGAAATATCGAAATGTGACTTTGGGTAGCACAACCATCTTTTAAGACCTATATAACAAGATTGTTTCTTTTGATGACAATTGGCAACACTTTAAAAATTGTTACAGATAACAGATCTTCTCTGATGATGATCTGAAAATAGCAACATGGCAAGTCAGTCTGTGCCACCACATTGATCGTATATACGTATATGATCTGATTCAGTAAAAATGTATTATCTGCTAAAACAGATGGAGAACATATGTAAATTTTGCTTCCTGACTAGGTCATGCAAGGTGAATGATAGCTCTGCGGGATTTAGAACTTTATCTCCCATTTAAATGTGTGACCACAAAAGAGCATTATTACAAACAATGATATGAAAATTCTGAATAGATGTAACAGTAGATATAAACATCCTGTTTAGGTAACCATCAAGATTTCTCAAGGTAAATATTGACCTAGTTGAAGCTTCTCAGGTTTAAAACTTCATGGTCGCTTCAGCAGAAATAAATATTTGCTCCTTAGTTATTTTACGAGCGAGTAACTTAACCTACAAAGCCAAAAGCTTGAAGCTAAGGAGTAAACCTGTCACTAATCAATCCAATTGAGCTCATGTACTGCAAATGATCTCCAAACAGTAACTGAACTTATAGTGGATGTGTGCTGCATACGTTAAGCCCAGTGACAAGTTAAGGAAAGAGTCTTGCTCTAAACACTGAATGTTCTTACCTCTTTTGTCATTTTAAGCCAGCGCCCTCAAATAACTTTCCTTTTGTTTTCTGTATGCTAGTTTAAAGGGACACGGTCAAGTAGGGTAGGCCATATATCTAGGTTTTGTAAACCAAATGCAATTGTTTTACAAAATCTAAAAAAAAGTTTCCATGGATTACCTAATGTTAATGAAAACATTTTTTAAACAATTTATTTAAGCATTTTTGTACAGGTTTATGGAAATCAAACACAACAGCACTATATCAGTGCATGAGAGACCAGGAAGTTAAACAGACCCTTTCTGGTTTAAATTTTCCATGCTGAGTGAAAAGCAAAAAGCAAGCATAGTTTATATGGTAAAAAGTTAATTACATTTTTGAAACTCTTCCATTTTTAATAATCTTTCAAGATAAAAATGTTTTAACTTGACAGTGTCCCTTTTTAAAAGTTTACATGCTAGATTCTAAATACTACTGACATTAGTAAATTCATAATTAGACAGATTTGCAAGGTGTTTATTATATATGTGATTAGAAAGTAATTAATTGTAAATGTTGACAAAAAATGTAAATTTTATACTTGGTAGCCTTATAGACCTTCTTTGAATTTATAATTTATCATGTAAATACATTGCGATTTGAGTCATAAAAGTCGACATAAAAAGTAAATTAAAAATACCCAAGTAGATATACCATGTTATAGATAGATCCATTAGTTAAAACTGATTTAGGTTATACTAGCTTAAAAATCATTTTAAACTGGTAAGCCTCTATTTTATTTATTTATATTTGAATAACTTATTCTTAAAAATATTTATTTAAGTATTATGCTCTTATCCTTGTGTACTAATGTTTACAGACAAGTTATAAAGCTCTGGAAAAACTGGGTATGTATTTGGAATGCAGATAGGTTAGAAAGACAATGACAGGATTTCTTTATCAAACTGTGTTGGGAAGAGTCATCTAAAGTTTATCTGGAAATTTTCAAGATATATTTCAATACTCATAGGATCAAAAACTGTCCAGAATTTTGAAAGTTTGAACCCCCACCCTACCCTTAAATCAAAACTTACAAAATGTTTTTTTCCTGGTCCTGAGGAGACGATAGATTGAAAATCCATCCCTCTAGATGGATACCAGGGACCGGATTGCTGCCTTCCTAAACTGTGTCAGGGAGATCTCAGGGACCTGCGCTTGTCCATGGACCGGTCGTTGAAACACTGCTCTAGATAACAGCACAGTTGATGAGAACAGGCTGTCTCCCAATTTGTTTTGTTCTTGGTTGGAGGAAGGAAACAGGTACAGCACCACAGACAACGGGGTATTGGCCAGGGGGTACTGTATGCAGACAAGCTGGATCCTTCCACTCAGGGCCGGCTCCAGGCACCAGCATTCCAAGCAGGTGCTTGGGGCGGCAATCTGCAAGGGGCGGCAGTCAGTGTGTTTTTGCCGCCTCAAGCAGCGCGCCGAATTGCTGCCGCGGACAGCGGGGGCAGTCCATGCGCCGTTAGGGTGGCACGCGCGTTTCCGCAGCGGCGGCAATTCGACTGCAGCTTCTATGTTCAGCTGCCCGCGGCGGCAATTCAGCCGCCACCGCGGAAACGCGCGTGCCGCCCTACATGGCACATTGACTGCCCCCGCCGTCTGCGGCGGCAATACGGCGCGCTGCTTGGGGCGGCAAAAACAGTAGAGCCGGCCCTGCTTCCACTGACTGCAACTCACTGAGCACTTCTCAGGATCTGGTGCCAAATGGGTGAAATACTCTCTGGGCAGTACAAATCCATGAATAGCTTTGTAATACAGGAGGAGAATGGGCAGTGAAGGTAACACTTCATCTAACACCTACTTGGTAATTTTGGAGAGCTGCTTTCTGAGGATGGCCCTAATTGTCTCAGCCAGATCATCGCTCTTTGCATGCTGATGGGAGGAGAATTATGCTGCATGTAGGAGTGATTAGAAGTGAATGTCTGAATAGTCGAGGGCATTTGATGGGTAACAAATTTAGATGGTGTATGCTTGGAAAGCCTTTCAGAAAATTCTATTTGAGGGCGATAGACGATTGTTCTCGCTATAAATTTTTATCTCCAAGTCAGATATGCCATACCCACTTTTCCTGCAATTGTCTCTAGTTGTCCACAGGTCAGAGGACTTTTTAAAAACAAATGTTAAGGCTAGAATTTAAATATGTCAAGTGATCACAGGAATCTTGCAATTCCCAACTTACCACCCTGTGGTTTTTTGAGGATTTTTTTTTTAAACTTCTCTTGCTCGACTGTTTTATTTTAATCAAAACTTTTCAGTTCATCACAAATTTAGAGTCAGATTCTGTTGTGAATTTCTCCCTGTGCAGCCACTTTAGTCTGCAGAAGTTATAAGACATTATCATTTGCCTCCCCACATCTAATTTGCATATAAATTAAATAAAGATACTTTTCAGTTTTAATGGTAGTTGCTCATGTGCTGTTGTATATTTATCATGGCTGTGAATCTGATGAAATTCACATTTTAAAAAAAATAGATGATAGAAAACATGAAGCACCTGATACAGTTTTGTCTATTGATTATCCTATTTTTTAATTAAAAATAGGCTTTGACAATTGGAAACATAAAAATATTGCAATATATTAGTTACTCAGAAGAGGGTGCTCTGCTATTGAAATTCATGCCCTACTCTAAGAAAAGCCACACAGCATTTAAGGATGACGTAAATTATGAATACATTTAATTTCTCAGAGGCTTCTCATAAGCATATTAATTTGAATAAAATGTACAGCTGTAGAAATATTGAGCTATTAATTTAGCAAGCATTCAAAATATTCATTCACAAAGCTGTGTAATTCTAGGCTACATTGAGATTTTATTGCAGCATATGCTAGTGTACCTAAAGATCGGTCAGTGCTTCTGTTATAAATCCTTTTCCTGGGTTTATAAGCTACAGGTTGAAATGTTTTTGGTGGGCTTAAACTTGCACACAAAACCTAGATATGGAGTGAACTTTTTTTCTCCCCTCACAACCTCCTTACTTATTAACTTTCACAATTTGTATAAAATATATATATTTATCTTTTCCTTAGAGTAGTTCACAGGTCAGAGTAAAAGTTTATTGGTTTTTGGACACACTTCTGTATTCTTGGGTCTTCTGCAACTTGTTTGTTTTTTTAAAAGCAATGTTCCCAATCCATAAGGTGGGCCCTACACCCTTTCTGTTTTTCCCCTTGAAATAAAATAGTTGAGGTCTGACAGTAGTTGCCATTCATGTTTATCTTTTTTATAAGAAATTGTGCTACTTATTGGCTATGATCGATTTATAACCCAATGCGTACTGGTGGTCATGTGTTTACAGCATACCTCAGCATAGCGCCAAAACTATCACAATGGGTAAATAGTCCAAATTCTCCTTTCCAATGCACCGATGAGGCTCCCATTTTAAATGGATGCACCTAACTTTAAATCTCACGTGTGTTTGGAACATTTTTGTAATCTGCTGATTGTTCTGGATTGCATTCACTTCAGCTGGAGTAGTGGGTGCTAACACCTTTGAAAACCAGGCCCCTACTAATTTTTCCCTGTTTGGGCCTATTTACATTCTAGAATTCTACCATATAAACACAATCGAGAGAACCTGATTTTGATAACAGGATGAAGAAAGCCATGATTTAGCAGTCATAGACAGGGCAAATCTTATTCAGCACCATGTTCCTGGTCCAAGCAAAATCTAATCCCAGTTAGATGACGTGGTGATGATGATGAATTAGATTTGGCTGGTCTCCACTAACCATACAGTCAGTATTATGTTGGCTAACTAGCAACAAGGGACAAAAGAATATTTGTAATTGCAAAACGTGCTTGAAAAACTACTAAAATTGACCGGAGCATTCGGGCAGTTGTCATGCTAGAAACTTCCTTCTAATTCACTTTTTGTAATTGACTTGTTTTTAAGTTTTTGGTATCCTTGTAAGTTGGAGCCATTCTGAGGTCAGTGCACAGTTCTGTGCTTCTATTTCGATTGCATTTCAGTCAGATATTTTTCCCTGTGTATATAGACTTGTATCCTGTGGGCCGCTTTTTTTTTTTTTTTTTTTTTTTTTTTTTTTTTTTTTTTTTTTTTTTTGTTTTTTTTTTTTTTTTTTTTTTT